TAAATATAAATCAGATTATGTGTTATAGATTGTGATCATTACAGTGGTGGCGGAGAAATTAAGATGAAGTTTATTTTATATAATAAACTTAATAAACTAATTTATTAATTCAAAACATTTTTTAAATTGTTTAAAAATTACAAAATAAGTCAAAATTAAAAGTTTTTGATGAATCTTGTGATCCATCAATATTAGTAATTAATGGTTTGATGATGGTCAGCTGTTATGTTTTATAATAAAAGATTTCTTGTAAAATACTTAATCATAACAAGTGTACCAACTATAAATTTTGAGACTAAGGGTCTGTTTAAGATAGTGAAACAGTTATGATTATTTAAAATATTTTTTGTTTAAAAATATATTAAAAAATTATTTTTTAAAAAAATTATTTTTGATGTGAGCACATCAAAATGATATGAAAACATTAAAAAAATAATTTTTAATAAAAAATAAAAATTTAAAAAATACAATTTACATCACATTTTAAAACATTCAATAAGCTTATACCTATCCAAGTCGATTTGATTGCCCTTACAAAATAAAAGAAAAGAAAAGAAGGGCGGTCAGCTTTCAGGTCATTTTCATTCCAGCAATGTTCAGTTAATTTTGCTATAACGTAACTCATGTGTGAAAGTGCCGGGGTTGTACAAGTGCGAGCTTGACAAAGCTAAGATCACAATTTTGAGTAAGTTCCCGTCTCTTAATTCTTTTTTCCTTCGTAATTTATAGGAACCTGAAACAATGGTTCAGATGATAAATTGTGTTTTTTATAGTAATCGATTCGGTATGTTCGACTTGTAGTACAATATGAAGGAACCCATGTCGACGTGCAGAACAAAGATTAGAAATTGCTATCTCAGCTGTTCCGGGCTTCCTACCAATAGCTGCAATTAGAAAGAAAATAATGTTCCCGTTTCCGTTCACTTGAGAGCTATGATTAAAAAAAACTAAATAAATATGTCCTTTTAACTTTCTTGGATGTGATTAAAAAAACAGAAACGACCTAAAGTAGCATCAACAGTTCAATTATAATTACCGTTTCCGTTCACTTGAGAGTTGCATCTCTCTGGTCTCGCCGTAGAGCAAATAGTCACAAATATATATATATATATATATACAGGAGTGAAGCCAGGAATTTTTCTTACCCTGGGCTATAATATAAATATATATAAATTATTTTATAAAATTAATTATTCACTCGGATATATAAAGTTGTTAAGTTAATAATAAAATTTTGTAAAATAGAATTCATCTATTATCAAATTCAAATCAATATCTTCAACAAGCTCTTGTTCAATGAAATCATCATAGAATCTGCTAAGAACTCGTTTTTCATTTTATTGTGAAACATAGTTTTAACATGTTTCATATCTGAAAATACTTGTTTTATAGTGGTAGTGGAAACATGCAAACTCAAAACAAGACCAATCAACCTATCAATCAAATGATAATGCTGCGACTTATTTGTTTCAACTAATCCTTAACATAATTTAGAAATGGTAGATAAATTCTGAAAGCTCTTATAATCAATCACATCAATCTAATAATCATTGACATTTCTTATTCATTGAAATCTTCATGATAAAATTTCTTAGCAAGCTTGTATATAACATCAACTTTAAATGATTTAAAGTTGTCTTTAGGTTCTAAAGTAGAGCTCAGTATAAGGAATTTTACTGTCCCATAACTAAATCTAGAATTTAATACTTTTAACTGAAAATCTATTGTTAAGTTAAATATATTATAATGATAATGTTAGTAAACTGTCATTGAACCTTTTTGTTGATATGAACAAACTATAGTCTTTTTATATGAAGCATTCATATGTAGTATGTCAATCTCATATTTTGTGTAAACAAATTGCACATTTGCAAGGAGAAGATCAAATCCAGCATCTCTCAAAGTTTGAAGCAATGCTTTAGTAGTTGATACAAGATTCATTACATTTAAAATGTCAAGAGATTTTTGCTGTAAAGCTTGACATAGTAAATCAGTAATCCCTATTATTTTATGCATTAAATATAAGATGAATATAAATTCAAAAGATTTCATCACAATCAAACAACCACCAGCTTCTCCATGTATAGAATTAGAAAATACTTCTTGAACCATACTTTCAAGCACAATAATAGTTGCATATACATATCTATTAAGCTGCAAGTAGAATCAAAATTAGAGCTCCAATGAGTAATTCCACTTCGATGTAAATTACCAATTTGATTAGCCTTTCTACTAGTCTCACGTTCTTCAGTAGCTACCATATGTGTAATTTCTATAGCCTAAGCATAATGTAATTCAGTATGATGTTTAGGAGAAGTATAAATAAGGTTGATAATGGTTGTCAATTTTGAAAAAAAATAATCAAATAGAAATCTCATTTCTAGCTATTGTAACTAATGCTAGTTGCAGTCAGTGAGCAAAGCAATGTACATAATATGCATAAGGACAATCTCTGAGAAATAGAGCTTGTGGTCCATTTCATGCTCTACGTATATTGCTAGCACCATTATACCCTTGACCCCATATATTGAAAATATGCAAATTATATCAAGGAAGCACATCACAAATTTCTTTTTTAAGTGTTGAAGTAGTATCTAAAACATGCACAATACTAAAAAAACACTCTCGTACAAAACCCTGAATGTCAACAAATCTTAAAACAATAGCCATTTGTTCTTTATTAGATGCATCTTTGGCTTCGTCAATAAAAATACAAAACTTTATATCTCTAACTTCTTTACAAATCTTTTTCCTCACTTTGTTCACGAGAATATGCAAAATCTCTTTTTGAATATTCGACGAGGTATACGTTGTATTTTTCAGAGCTTTTTCTAAGACAACATCATCAGTGTCAACATTCAATCTCCTCATAAGTCTTATCATCTCCAAAAAATCCCCTCGATTATTAGAAGCCAAAGATTTATCATGGCCTCTAAATGCACATGTTTGTAAGCTAAGCCATCGAATACTTCCAATTGTTGTCATAAGTCTCAACTGATTTTTTTAAACTTCTTCAACAGTTGGTGCATTCAAAACTTTATCAATATGTCTATTTACTTTCATTAAATCTTTAGCAGATTTCACAACATTACTATATAGTGAAATAGGACTTTCCACGTGCATCAAAAGTGCACATCTAACACCATCATTAACCCTCTTCCAACTTTTAAAGCCGTTAGTTATGGATGTGAGATAATGAAACATTTTGTTTTCATAGATAAAGCATGGAAAACAAAATACTGCATTCTTTGATGGAGAGTACTCTAGCCAAGGAAATTGATTAAACCATGTGCATTGAAATCAATGATACTGTCTCTCAGATTTAGTCCTTAGATACTTTACTAACTTAAGTTGATATGGATCCATTTTGATATAAGCTCTTTTAATTTTATCTTGTTGATTAATAGGATGTTTTCACACTAGAATAAGCAACCTAGGATCTTGTTCAAGAGTATTAATATCAATTTCAACTCTTTGAGATTTGAAAGGGGGTTGTTCACTATGATTTGAGACATCAACAGTGGAAGGAGAATGTCCTTTACTGGTTGATGTTTGTTTGTTTTGTTTAGAGAATGAAAACATAGTTTTTCCTCTCTTGTTTCCTTGATTTTTCATTTAATTTATAACCTATTTAAGTAGAATGGATTAGGGAAGTCAGGTGTAAGATGAAAAGATACTAACATTACAATAGAATATTTATGAAATGTAGAATATAAGAGGATAAACTAGTAATGCAAATTACTGGGAGATTTGAAGAACTTTACTTTGAAATAACTAGTAAATTATGAGTACAAGACTACTCTTATGTTAGCATGCTTCAATTTCTAGGGTACAGTCTACTATTTACTCCACTAAAAATCTACTGTAATGAATGTAGAACATTAAATTCAAAATGAAAAGTCAGGGCTTGTAAATTCTTACATGATAATTTTATACTTTTGCGGCTCTCTATATAGATTCTTCTTCAAAATCCAAGCTAAAATTGTATATTGTTAAGAAGAAAAATAGCTTAAACCCCAAGTTATTTGAAAGAGATGTAAATTAATTAATTATTTATATTTAGATAAATTTACTATAAAATACCAGTAATTATTAGTATTGCAAGGAAAGGTAGGTGGCTAATTAATTAGTGTTACTAGAAAAGTAAAGTGGGCGGCTGATGACTACTAATTAATTTGTGTTGCAAGGAAAAAGGAAACACTAAGTTTGTTGTGTAAAAATTAAAAGGAAAAATAGATTATTAGATTCTTTTAACCTGGGCTATAGTCCTCCTTAGCCTAAAAGGCTCCGCACCCCCCCCCCTCTCCCTCTCTCTT